TAATTTAAACATCACAAAATTAAAATATTCTATTATTGAAATTGTTCTCAAAGAATGTTCTTTAAATAGTTTTAAATAGAACCAAATTGTATCCCGCGAAAAAATATAGAACCAAACTTTGTTAAACTGGTATCTGAACTTTGCCATGACAAATAGAAGTACTTTTGGAAAACTTTGGCATAGCTCGCAATTTATGAAAAATAGGTAGAGAACGTTTTAACCATGTTTTTGGAACTTTGTCGCCAAAACTCAAATAACTTTTCATTTTTATTGGTTTCTTCAAAGTCCTTCTGATTTTCATGGCAAAGTTCAGGCACATCCTTCATAAAGTCCGACAAAGCCTTCATAAAAATTGCACGCGCGTGATTTTTTAGTGAGGCTGTGGGTTAACATGTAATAATCCCACAGTAACTAGTGACATTATCCTGCAATAAAAAGTAACTAGCGGCGTTAATTATCCATGCCAGATATAATTATGAGGCTGGTCTGTCACTAAACAGGAGCATGGGAGGGAAAAGTGCACAGAGCATGCACATGACCTAGCTAGAGAAACCAATCTACTAGCCTGTGGCTGGTGCATGGCTGACACAACGATGGGCCTAACTGATTGAACAACATGCATGATGGCCGGCTCGGATTCGCGCTGCATACGGAACGCGAACATAAAAAACCGCGTCCTTGTTTCACCTGCTCTAACTCTGTAAGAGATGGGTGTATTTTCCCTCTCCTTGAATCAAACATATGAATATCCTCATTTCACTATATGGACATCACAGTCTACTGATATGTCCACACTACGTACCAAAAATATGTAATCAACAAATACCTAACAGTTTTGTGGAGCTACTCAATTAGATGAGAACTCTATAAGATGTTCATGTAGTCATGCGACTTATGTCCTGTTATCCTGTCACCACTTCCCTTAATTCATAGCTCCAGTTCAGTTTACATCTTAGAGCATGATTGGTTTGATGCCAAAAATTGACACGGCAACGTTTGGCAAATGCGAAAAATTGGCTAGTGCTTGGTTAGTTATCAATTTCACTTGCCAACCTCACAAGAAGTTGTCACTTTTTGGCAACTTTTGATATTGCCAATTGTTGGCTTGTCAAGTATTGGCAGTGTCAAATGTTGGCATGAAACCAATTAGCCTTTTATACTCTCCGGAAACATTGCTTGCTAAAAAAAAGAACAACATTAACATCACATCAACAATTGCCATGTTGCACCACCTAAATTTACTAAATTAATTAGGAAATATCAGCGAGCTGACATTCATAAACCATCATCATCTCTTAGGTGACAGAAACCACTAGCTCTACACATGGCATGACCATCATCTGCTCATCAAAGGTACCTTTTTTGGTAGATGGACTGATAGACTATATCAAAGCTGTGAGACCAGTTTTTTTAAATGGTCGAACAAAGCTACTTTTTGCAGATGCATTTCGAGGCAAATTTAACAACCGTGCACATGGATGAATTGGAGGTTCATTACAAGATAATCCATTCACTCATGCCAATGACATGGGGAAACCATCGAGCTTATTAACAAAATCCAATAGCAATATGAGAAAACAAGCAACCACCACTGCACCAAAACGGCCACTCAATAGTGACATAATTCATCATGAGATCCCTAGCACATCCATGCTTGTTATCTTTCTTGATGATGAGTGTGGCCTTGTGCCATGCAGCATATTCACCCTTTCTGCAAACAAAGATGTATACTCAGTCCGATTCAAAAAAATAAATGAAATAATACTACATAAATCATCAATTATGTAAGAATAATTTAAATTGTAACATGTGAGTGTTAATTAATTACATCACAATTTTTTTTGCTCCCACATATTTCAAACATAACAATTGATACGATTAGATATTCATTGTTTTGTATGGTCCACTAACTGTATACACTATAACTTAAGGGTTGTTCCCAAATGACAAGAGAAAGGACATATAAATATAACCATACCTTGTGGATTGTAGAAACTCATGTACGGAATCAGAGCGTGGATCTTTTTATCATTCCATACCTTCTTCCACTGCAGTGACTCGAGATTGATCTCATAGACGCCAAGGTCAGTGGTCACGAAAATGATATCACTGCGCTCCACGGACCCAAGCAGCTTAATAAGATTTATTTTCTCAGTATTTTGAATGGGGGTAATTTCCTTGAGGTCAATGATTCTACACCGAGTCCATTTCGCAAGTCCGTCAGAACTCATCTGGCTTGACCACAGGTAGAGGGTAAACCTCTTCAAGTGTGCGAACCCCAAACAATTATCCTCCATCACCATGAGGATAGCTTTACCTTTACGCACAGGCCCCTTTGGTGGCGCGGCAATGGCTGATAACGAATGAGATTCTGAGTCGTAACTGAGAATTCCTATACGATTATCATGATCATCCCTAATCATGAAGTAGAGTGTGTCTGCAATGAGGACAGGGGGCATTGGCTCGATGGATAGATCGTCGGACAGATTGATGGACAGATTCTCCATAAAATCAGAAGAGCCCTGCTCGGCCCACTCCCCTGTCTCCGACAAATACTCGCACACGTCTACAAAACACTTGCCTTCGTCGTCCAAGAGCAGGCCGAGGGTGACCACGCGGAAGGGGCCCTCATGGCACGTGCAGTGATCGCAGCCGCTCTCGGCGCAGAGCACTGCTGCAGTGACCACGTCGCTGTCGTATCGCCGGGGCTCTAGCTCCGTCCAGCCGGCCGTCATGGGGTCCCAGACGACGAGCCTCAGGGGTAGGTTAGCCATATCCTCAAGGACAACGCGTCCATGGCGGCAGTCCAGGGGAAAGTAGCCGGAGTCCTCCCAGTCGCGGCTGGGAGAGCGCGCAAGGAACGACGTGTTGGCGACGAGGAGCGAGGCGGGTCCTTGGTGCTCGTCCGACGTGTCGGCGTAAAGGAAGCCCAGCATGGGGGGTGCTCCATGGAAATCGCGGTAGCGGCCGCGGAAGGCGGGGCTAGAGAGGAGGTCCAGCCATGGCTTGCTTGCGAGGGAGGCGCGCACGAGGCACGCGGGCTCGTCCGGCGGGAGGCGGAGGAAGACCTCCTCGATGAGCTCGTCCGGCAGCGATGGCGGCGGCGGCATGGTCGATCTGTGGAGGCGAGGGTTTCGACTTTGGGGAGGGGAATGTGGGAGGAGATAAGACTAGCGAGGGAATCACGGGAGGAGGGGAGGGCGGCAATCACGCGAGGCTGCCGTTTCTGTGCGTGCATGCGTGAGCAAGGAAGAAGAACCAACGTTCTGCCAGGGGAACAGAGAAAGGAGTTGGGCGCTGGGCCTGAGAAAGAGATGTTAGGCCTGTGAATTCAGCCCAGCCTAGCTGGAATTGCTTTTCCAATTAAATAAAATGCAGAAATCAATTTATATAAGTCAAAAGAAGAGCAAATGGTCACCGGAAACAGGAACTTTGCAGGTAAATCAAATTGAACATGGACAATCAGATAAAAATACTTCCAAACATACCCATATATATGACTGACCTAAGATTTGTTTACTGGGCTAGACTTATGTTACATATGACAATTAGTGAATTAGGTGGTGTTTGGTTCTCTAGTCCCAACTAAAAAGTCCCTAGTCCCTAAAAAAGTCTCTCCCTGTTTGTTTCCAGAGACTAAAAAGTCCCTAGTCCTTTGCTAGAGGTTATTAAATGACCATGTTGCCCCTACTATATAGAAAAATAACAATCAAACAACATCATGGGGTGGCGGGCCAATGGGTGCATGGAGGGGCATTGTTGAAAAAGTCCCAAAAAAACTCTCTTAAGAGTCTTCTTCATTTAGTCCCAAATGCCTAGTTTAGTCCCTAAAAAGTCCCTCCCGTTTGGTAAAAAAGTCTCTAAGAGGGACCTTTTCTAGTCCCTACACAAAAAAGTCCCTGAAAACAAACACCCCTTTAGTTGGTTGACCATCACGCCCTCTCACATGAATGGGTATGTTTATTTTTTTTCCTGGTGGCTATGTTTTAATTCCCACTACCAATTTTCAATTAATAGGGTGCATCAAACGAGGCCCCTATGCCTATTTATACCTTTCCTGTCAGCATAAAAGGTGAAACATGACTTCGATCTCTGTATGTATTGTTGGACAATGAATTTTATTAAACTGATAAATAATTGGGCACTGTCTATTGCCGATTGAATCTCTCGTCTGCTGGTTGGCGGAGTTTTCGTTCGCCTGAGTGTATGTTTTCTTGTTTAATAGTAGTATAGATTCAACTCTCAGTCATCAACGAGCCGCATCACAGGGACTCACCATTTCATCAAACATAGATTTGCCTGTGATTCCACTATCAGCCAACAACGACACAAGAAACCAGACACCTTATTGGCACATGCCCGACCTTGACGACGCAACCGTCGAGTACTTTCCAACGTGCGCTCGTACAAGCTAGCGGTGGCCAATTCCTTCTGGCCGATGGAGCGTATATGGCAACACACACCTATACCACAAGCGCCTTGGTTGATTCTTCCCTGATATACATACGTAAGAATCAGGCACACAAGGGAAAGTCACCTTCTCAGCCTGAGTTCAAATGAGCTTAAATGAATAGTAAAATCAATCAATAAATAAGTAATATCTGATTTTCTTTTTGTAACAAACATTGACAAATGTTCCAAGAGCTTGAAAATTTTCATCATGAAATTACATTTTTGAAACAAAATCAGTGCTTCAAAATGCTTTCGAAAGTAATTTTCAAATAAAATTGTCTACAAATGCATTTTCAAATAAATTAAACATCAGAGTTAATGCTACACGAGTTAGAGGTTCATTACAAAGATAATTCATTCATCTGCTTACACATTCCACTAACAAGAGGAAATTATCAAGGTCACTCACAAAAACTACCAAAGGGTGAGAAAACAAACACCATTACACAAAACGAGGAACTAAATAGTACATAACTCACACAACCCCGACGCCTCTAAATTATGGTACTGGCTTCATGGTATTAAGCATATTCCATTACTCACGGTCGTCAATGCGCCTCATCGCTTGTGCTCGCTCTTTCTGCAAATATAGATTTGTCAACATGATTCTAGAAGGAGATGCATGAAGTTATACTTTATAATACTGCCAATTAGGAAGGTGTAACATTTTTGTGTCACATATCACTCAAAGTTTGTGCGAACACCCCTATATGTATTCGAAATTGAGACATTAAAAATAACCCTGCATCGGATGAAACAAGCAATCTTTTAAATATGCTTTGGATGCAACATTGCTGACCGCACATATCTATGTATATCACTAATTGAAAAATCAAATATAACTTTTGACCTAATTAAACATGATTTTTTTCCATATTTAATATATTACTATTGATACAAGAATTGTTTCCGAATCACAAATGAAAGGACATATAGATATACCTTGTGGGTTGCAGAAACTCATATACGGAATCAAGGCACGGAACCTTTCTCTCTTCCATAGCTTCGTCCACCGCAGTGACTTGAGATTAATTTCGTAGATGCCAAGATCCGTGGTCACGAAAATGATATCACTCCCCTCCATAGATCCAATCAGTCTAATAACTCTTTTCTTGGTATTTTGAATGGGGAGGAATGCCTTGAGATCGATGGCTCTACGGTGAGTCCATGCATCAACTCCATCAGAACCCATCTGTTTGGACCACAGGTGGAGGATAAACTTATCCGTGTTTGCCATCCCCGCAATCCCTAAACTTCCGTCCTCCATCGCCATGATGATGGTGCTGCCGATAGTCGCAGACACCTCCGACGGTATATCAATCAGTGATAAGCAATCAGAGCTCAAGTCGTACTTGAGAATTGCTAGTGCTACATAGGCTTGAGGTCGCCGAACCATGATGTGGAGTGCGTCTTGGACGAGGACTGATGGCATTTCGTCGACTGTTGCTCCACCGGCAAGATGAAGAGGAGAGCACGGCTTGCTCACCCCACCCTTCTCCATGGAGAAGATGCCCGCGCGTGCAACACCAACACCATTTGTCTTGTCCAGGCTGACGAAGACGACCCGGAAGCGTCCCTCATGGCACGCGCGGTGGTCGCAGCCGGCCACAGCACAGAGCACGGCAGCGGCCCCACGTTGTTTAGTGGACATGTATCCCGTCGGCACGTCGAGCTCCCACCGGCAGCCCGTCATGGGGTCCCAGACGACGAACCCCATGGGCGACCTGCTCCTATCCCCGAGGAGGACGAGGCCATGGCGGCAGTCCCACGCAGAGTAGGCCAGATCGCTCCAGTCATCGTCGGGGACACGTGGGGCGAACTTCATGGTCGAGACGAAGTGCGGCTTGTGTTCTTCGTCCTCCGGGCCGGCGTACTCAGGCCAGGAGTAGAGGAAGCCGAGCATGGGAGGAGCTCCGTGGCGGTCGGCGTAGCGGCCACGGAAGCGAGCGCCGGCGAGGAGGCTGAGCCAGAGCTTGCTGGCGAGGGAAGCGCGCACGAGGTGCTCGGGCTCGCCCGGCGGGAGGCGGAGGAAGACCTCCTCAAGGAGGTCGTCCGGCAGTGTCTGAGACATGGTTGATCGGTGGAGGAGGCGAGGGTCAAAGTGGATGGAGATGGACTCATGGAGGCTAGCTGCACAGAGACTCTGTGTGAGCTCCGGTGGATACTTAGATTGGAGTTAGGTGAACGGGCATGCATGTGTGATGTGTCCATTAAGCAAAGCGAGAGATATACGCGGTGTTAGGGGAATAATAGTTAATTAAAGCAAAGTAAGAGATGCACGCGGTGTGCTTTGGAAAGAGGCAGGAAACTCCACTATGGTCATGGTGTGGTGCGTGCACAGGGCCGTTCCTGAGATTTCAGGGGCCCGGGGCGAAAATATAATCGGGGGCCCTTTATATATCCAAAATTATAATTATTATGTGCATGTTTAGATAAATTTTAAGCATGAATTGCTGTTAATTTTTTTATCATGGAGTGCAAAACCAGCTGGTTGACCTAGTTCCAGGTTCTAATTATATATTATTATAATAATTGTTTCTCACTTTTGCTAAGATTTTGATAGGGAAGTTTCATGCATTGTATACTTCACAGTTTGGCAAACAAAAAAGTAATTTGAACTGCCCTTGGTGGCACACAGATAGAATAGCTTCATAATTTGCAACACTAGAAATTAATTTTTTTAACAATTAAAATTAATTTTGCCATGTAATCATATTGAATCTTTTTTTGATGGGTTAAGCATATTGAATCCACTATGAATCCTCCAATTAATTTCAGCTTGCCTATTATCATTATCCCATAGATTCTAGGCATCCTTTCCCCTCATCTTTCATCGATCTCCAACACGACCAGATTAATTAATCAGAAGGATTGCATTAAAAAAATTAGTCAGAAGGACAACTACGTCCTACTCCTCCCCGCTAATTCACTATATCTAATAATTCTGCCACCAACTAGTCACATATCAATCTAGCTAGCTCCGTTGGATGATGCATCAGGAAGATGCTAACCTGATCTGTGTAGTTTAAAACTGCCTGCCAGGGCCGGTGGTGTTGTTACTCCTCTCCAGGGCGATGAACATGAAATTTCTCCATCCGCCATTGCACGAGAAATCATCGGGGAGGCCTCCGCGGGAGGAGGTTGTGTCGGCGGCGGGGTCGCCCTCGGGCTTGCGGGATATGTCGCTAGGTCGATCGCTCATGTCGTCATGCGCGGACCTGCGCGAGGGAAACGGAAGTTCCACTAATTTAGCTTTTTTTTTCTTGAGAAACTCCACCAATTTAGCTAATCGCTGATTTACTTGCCCACAGCTAATGTTCGCTGTTGCATCAAAATTAGGCGAGAATCGTTTTTTCTCATGGGCTGGATACAGAGAGCACACGGGCTGGATACAGAGAGCAGACGAACGTGGGGGCCCCTCAATTTCGGGGGCCCGGGGCGGCCGCCCCCCCTGCCCCCCCATCCGGGCCGGGCCTGTGCGTGCATGGTTGGGGTGGTATATATTGCAAAGCTTTTTCTTTCTTCTGCTCAGCATGTGCGCGCACGAGGAGGCAATTAACTGTTGATGCGTGTCTTAAACTTAAAGCCAATCAATTGACAACAATTAGTGCTCTGTCATGTCAGGAGTAGCATACCACTTTTTCTCAAAGAAGAAAGAAAAAGGAGTAAGCAAGTAGAAAATGCATTCTCCGAAAAAACTAGTCCTAGAAAATGCAGGGTTGTGGTAACATAATCAGGTCCATCAAACTATGATCTTAATAGCAAACTGAGGCAAGCTCAGATGGCAAGGCTCTTTCTGGTGAAAATAGCCCATCAAGGTTTAAATTGTACTAGAGTTGGCACTGATAATCATATTTTTCTGGATTTATTTAGACTTCCTGGTGATGTTCGTTCAGTGGAGGAGATATTCCCGTCGACAGTCCAGGCGACTGCAGACCAGCTCGCGGATGCAGAAGCTCCAAGCCGGTGCGTCCTTCTGCAACTCGCCACTCCAAGCTAGCTCGCCGAGGAGTGGCGTGTTGTTATAGGCCGACACACGGTAGACCACGGTGGCAAAAGCATCATGGCTCCGTGGACGTCACCGTGTCACACGGGTCCTCCCATGTTGCTGTTGCTCACGCCATACACCGTCAATGTGTCTGTGACCTCACCTAGCCGGTGAAGGTCGGCGACGCTGCGTCTAACACCTACGCGCCCCACTGAGGTCATCAAGGGAAAGTAGAACACATAGGCCACCGTGCTAAGGTCATCGAGAGAAAGTAGAACACGGATTCCATGAAGGCCACCACCGAGGCGAGGCCTGCGTATACGGCCGGTGTCCTGCCCGGTTCAGCGTAAACCAACATTGACCCCTGCCTTGGCTTCGGAGATGTGGAGCCCCCAATCCTCTCTGTCTGAAGCACCCCCTTTGCCACTCCGATGAGCAGCGTAGCAGGGCATAGGGAAGATACAAGGGAAGAATGTATCTCTGGGGCTCACGGCAGTTCGACAAGCAAGCTGTCGAACATGAGGAAGACAAAGGGATCCGCCGCGGCCGGCCGTAGACTAGTATAGTGTATCCGTGTCGTGGGAGTGGAGCTCCGCGTAGCTAAACGTGCATATAGTTTTAGCTATTTTAGTTAAAATATATCCAAAATGTAATGACTTTTGTTCGGTTTATATGAAATCCACTGTGTTTGCATGAATTTCATTTGATTTGTTGAAAAAGTGTTTGAAATGTACGCGGGCAGCATTGAATGGCGGCCTTCCGCATCCGTGTTTGTGGACGGATGCGGAAGGAAATTTACGGGTTGCCGTTGGAGATGCCCTAATAACCACACTTGACATGTAGTACTAGTTCAATACTTCAGCTCACAAGGATAATTATGATTTATAAGCAAACCATGCACAAGCCATCATCATCTCCTGATCATCAGAAAATCCTAGCTCAGTACAAACCCTCATACTCTGTTGATCATCCGAACCTCCTCCGGAAGAGGATTTTAGAGATCGGACTGAAGCCAGGAGAACAAACTATACAATTCTTTAAATTGTACTGCATGCAAGTACATGTAGAATCTCACCCTTACCAACGACAACTCAAAAGGCAACATTCTCGACAAAAATCATGTATATACATTTTGTTGAGAAAACAAGTTAGCATATTTTATCACAAAAGATACACGAGCGGTTCTTTTTAGAACAATTTGAAACTTCATGGTTCTCCGATTTTCTAAACTGTCCAAACAAGCTTGGGTAAAGCAAATCCATATCGAGCACCCTGCCTGTCAGCATAATCAAGCATTGTCGATGCGCGTGATATGAACTATGAACTTGAAGAAATGCACCAGCAGCACTATGTCATAATGGACATGATATCTTACAGAAGCCTCGGATATACCCAACAAAGCAAGCAATATCGATTTTCGAAAGAAAAAAAAGAGCAAGCAAATATCGGGTCAATGCAGAAAACAGCTAACTCAAAAGGCAATTCATTTTTCCCATGAAGGATGAATTAGATTAACTAGCTATCAGACATTTGGAACAGAACCATACCTCTTCCATGTATTTTAGGTAAAAATAAACAGGGATAAATGTGTGTCCATGATTTTGAGTAGAAGTTCTTATCTAAGAAGGAAATTCCGTGAAATCAAACCGGGAATTATAATACACCAAAAACACGTGCAATGATCACTGTAGCATTGCACTCTGACCAAACATATGAACATCTTCATCTCACTACACGGACATTGCAGTCTACTTGTATATGCATTGTAGGCCAAAAATATGCAACAAATAACCTAACTTCTCAAGATCTTTATGCAGTTTTGTGGAGTTACTAAAGCAAAAAATAAAAGCTTACAAGATCTTCAGGCAGCAATAGAGCACCATATCTTATAGCTGAAGATTCAGTTTACATTTATACTCGTCAGTAACATTGCTCTGCTAAAAAAACACTAACTAAATTCACTAAAGTAATTAAGGCATACCAGTGAGTGAGACAACATGAAGAAACCATCACCATCTATACTTCTCTAGGGAAAGACAAACCAGTAGCTCTAGGCATGTCATCAATCTCAACTCATGAAAGTTCAAAGGTAACTCTTTTAAGAGATGAATTTAGAGAGTTGGGGGAGCAAATTGTAGAGTTTTCAAAATGGTAAAACAATGTTACTATCTGCAGATGCATTTTCAACCAAAATAGAAAACGGAGCACATGGTCCCTATTGCAGCTGCAAGAATTGGAGCTAGGTTCATTACAAGATTATCCATTCATCCACTAACGCACGCCAACGACATGGAGAAACTATCAAGCTTAGCCAAGAACAATATCAGGAATTCAGCAAGCACCACTGCACCAAAAGTGCTACCGAATAGTGACATAATTCATCATAAGACCCATGTCCACCGCCTCCAAGCTTGTGATCTTTCTTGTTGATGAGAGTGGCCTCCTGCCATTAAGCTTATTTAACCATACCTTGTGAGTGTGCCGTTTGACTGAGAATCACCATTTCTGCAAACATATATTTGTCGGTGTGATTATTACAAAACAGGTATCATGATACAATATAAATTGTCAATTAAGTAAGCATAATTAGTTGTAGTTACCAAGCACTCAAAGTTTGACCGGGAACATTTGAAATGTAACTTTATATACGATTAGAGATTAATTGTTTTGTATGCTCCACTAACTTATACAGAGTAGTATTACTTAACAGTTGTCCCCAGATCACAAAAAAGGACATAAAGAATTATAGATACAACTATACTATACCATGTGGATTGTAAAAACTCATGAACGGAATCAAAGCACAAAATTTCTCGTTCTTCCATAGCCTCTTCCACTGCCGCGACTTGACATTAATTTCGTAGATGCCCAGGTCTGTGGTCACGAAAACGATATCACTGGCTTCCACGGATCCAACCAGTCTAAGTCTTTTCTTGTGATTTTGGATGGGGAGAAGCTTCCCAAGATTGATATTTGTACATGGACTCCATGGCGCAACTCTGCCGGAATCCATCTGTCTTGACCATAGGTAGAGCATTAACCCATCCACAAGTGCATACCCTAAACTGCCATCTGACATCGCCATGAGTATGGTGGCACCAGCAACATCAGACCCCATAATTGGCGCATCAATGAGCGATAAGGAATTAGAGCTCAAGTCATACTTGAGAATTGCTACACTATCATCATCATCATACTGAAGCATGAAGTGAAGTGCTTCTTTAACAAGGACAGGGGGCATTGGCTCGATGAATGCATCGGCTGCCAGATGAAGACCAAGGCACGACTCGCCCCACTGATCAAATCCAGGGCACGGCTTGCTCCAGTCACCCGTCTCCGGCAAGGACAGCCACGCGTGGGCAACACATTCACCTTCTTCAGTCAAGTTCAGGCCGACAAAGACCAACTGGAAGGGGGCTGCGTGACACGCACGGTGGTCACAGCTGGTCGCAGCGCAGAGCACCGCAGCCCCGTAATTGTTGTACACCACGTCCGGCAAGTTCATCTCCCTCCGGCAGCCCGTCATGGGGTCCCAAACGACGAGCGCCATGGGTACCGGATTGTCATCCCCAAGGAGAACACGGCCATGGCGGCAGTCCCACGCAACGTAGTTCAGGTGCACCCAGTCGTCGACATGAGGAATGCGCGCAGCGAATTTCGTGGTGGTGGTGAAGTGGGGGATGGGATATTTCTCCACCGGGCCGCAACCCTCCAGCCAGTTATGAAGGAAGCCCAGCATGGGAGGAGCTCCATGGAACTCGCGGTAGCGACCGAGGAAAGCAGGGCTGGAGAGGAGGCCGAGCCAAAGCTTGCTAGCGAGGGAGGAGCACACGAGGCACGCAGGCTCGTCCGGCGGGAGGCGGAGGAAGATCTCCTCGAGAACCTCGTCCGGCAGCGATGGTGCGGGCGGCGGCGGCGGCGTCATTGTCTGTGGAGGCGAGGGTTTTGGAAAGAAAAGTTTGACGCGTAGGCGGGGACGAAGGAGACGTGGCCTTCCTTCCCTGTCTTATGTGGGCCGGAGCGGGACTGGCAGCGAGAGTGGGCTCGGCTGCTCACGGGATTCCGATTTTTGTTTTTTGAGGGGTAGTTGGGACTTGGGATTCCGATTTCTTGTACTTCCTATACTAAATCAAGAAAATGTTTCTAAAAAAATACTAAATCAAGAAAATAGGGTATGAGACAAATTAGTTTTTTGCGGGGTGGGTATGAGACAATTGATAACTTTGCTAAAACCAAATAGTTGATAACATAAGTTGTTGTTCAGAAGTAGGAAAGTAGAATGGAATCCAGTTTTAGTCAAGTATTATGTATCTCTTCGTGTCCAAGCAGAAGGGAAAGGATACAATTTTGAGCTACGCGGAACTGTTGTGCTAATACTAAAATAGTACTATATGATAGCGTGTTCTTAAAATAAATAAAGCATATGTAGTATAAAATTAGATGGCGCAAAGAAGAATTTCTTGGATGTAATTGTCTAGGAACGAACCAAGTGGTGAACTGGTGATCCATGAGCTTCTATGGGGAGCCTAGATCTAGCTGGGAGGGTAAATATTTGGCTATGTTTTTTTTTGTGATGCAATAAGGCAAACATTTGTTGTGGAACTATCTTCGCGAGCTACATCAACGATCCCCGATTCTTGTACTCAAATGAGACAAGTCGTTGCAATGCTCGTCCATAGCACATGTATGGTGGAAGCTTTCCACAATGCTCTTTCTATGTGCGGACTAGAGGACATGGTTTTCCGAGGGGATGTGTTCACCTAGAGGAGAAGACGCATGGGAGGGGACGCGATGTGCGGTGCATGCAGCCCTCCACCGTTGGGAAGCGCCGAAGAGAAGAGGCGTCTAGCTGAGTTGAAGGACAAACCCATGAACAAGAACACAGCCCCGAAGAGGCGTCTAGCTGAGTTGAAGGAGCTTCAAATCCAAGCTGAATCCATGTATGATCAGGAAGAATTATATTATCTTCACGGAGTAGAGCCAACTGGCTGCGTACCGGTGGCCGAAACACAAACTTCTTTCATGATTTTGGGTTGGCTTCGAAGAAGAGGTACTTTATTAAAAAGCTTCAAGCTGATGATGCCACATGGCGTGAAGGTAATGAAGATTTGAGCATGCTGATATCTTCCTATTTTTCCAACCTGTTTGATTTTGGAGTTGTAGAACCAGAGGGAGAGGTTAATTAATACTAAAATTAGACCATGTGTTAATTGTTTTGAGGCTAAATTCGTAAACATTTGTTTTCAAAATTGATAATTTTTTCAAATCCGCTAAATCATGTGCTGGCCAACAGGCACCTGGCAGGAGCGATGTGTTTGCCTAGTCGGGCCAAGGCCTAAGCATATATTTTTTTCTTTCCTATGTTTTGTTTTTCTTTTCTATATTTTTGTTGATTCATTTTTCTTCTTTTTCAACTTTATTATTCTTTTTGAAACATGTTTAAATATTTGCAACATGAAAAAAAAATCTTGATATAAAATATTGTATAATTTTTTAAAAAATGTTTAAGAAATTTCAAAAATGTCCACTTTTTAATATATTTGTTCACAAATTTATGAATTGCTTACGTTTCAAAAAAGTTGATATTTTTTAAAAAAGTGCGTGCTTTGCAATTTATGTTCAACATCAATTGTTGGCAATTTGTTCACAATTTTGAAAAAAAGTGTTCAAGTTTATAAAAAGTTCATACACAATTTGAAATTCCAAAATTGTTGACAAATTTCAAAAAATTGTTAGGATATAAGAAAATGTTTTGTTGATTAATAATGATGAAAATTGTAAGTAACATAGGCATTCAAATTAGGAAAAAACTACATGCTCATGGATGCACCCGTCTAGCTAGTCTAGCACACTCCTCTGAACTGGTGGTCATTTGGACTATGGATAAATGACCTCAACTTCTTACACCTGCCTGACACGGACATATGAGGCAACCATATGTGGCTTGAAGGAATTCCGACGCCGTATCGTCCATTTTCCACCGAGAAAACTTCAGAAAATGCAAGAATTGTCAAAAACTCGAACAACTTGTTATGATGCCTTGAATTGGTCATAAAAGCTGGTGAATGTTTTTGGGCCATTTGACAGATGTTGAGAAACAATGTGCTTTCAAAGGGCCCTTCTCGTCTACCCAAACATCCTCTGTTGAACATGATCTAGTTTTGGAGATTCTTGAAATGACCCTAAATTTTGCAAGTAGGTGGGCATGCCCATGTTAGACATTCGTGCCATGTTTGAACGATTTCCGACACCTACTTGCAAAAGTTAGGGTCATTTCGTTGTACGGTGGAGAATGGATGTACGGTGTCGGAAATCGTTTTTTTACAGTTACACGTACAACCATTTATCGGTCTTTTTTGTCCGAGAAAACTACAAAAAGAATGCTAAATTTGTCAAAAAATAAAATAAAACAACTTGACATGATGCCTTGAATTGATCATACAAGGCCATGAAAAAACTGGGGCCATCAAGAGAATGTTGAGAAACAACGTGCTCTCAGACGAAACCTTCTGGGCTACCTGGACACTCTCCGTTGAACATGGTCTAGTTTTGGACATTATTTAAGTTGTATTAGTTGCTTATTTTCTTGGTCTCTTCATATTATTCACTTGACTTCCATTTAAGTTTCATATAGTCCTCTTAGCTTGCAGGTTGGAGTTAGTCTCTACACCAATTGGCGCAACAAGTCATCTAGTACGATAAATTTATTGGGGAACGGGGCGGTTGGAGGTGCCCGTAGGTAGCCAACTAGCATGAAGATCATTTCCCTTTTATCTTGGCATAAAATTCATATGATATTTTTTCTATTCAACTTGTGTTTTCGGCAAGAACTTTGATCTATACTCAACTGTCAAGTTAGTAAAAAGAACACTAGAAGCAAAAATTACATCCATGTCCTTAGACCACCTAGCGATTAATACAAGCACTGGAGTGAGCCGAAGGCGTGCCGCCATCATTGTCCCTCCCTTATCGGAGCCTGGCAAACCTAGTTGTAACAGACGGTCGGAAAGTCATCGTGCTAAGGTCATATAGTACCAGCACACCAGAACAACAACCGCCGCCGATGAAGAGAAGCGTAGATCGGAAGGATCCGACCTGTAGACACACTAAATGAAGACCGGATCCACATGCACCCAACAAAGACAAACCCCGACCGGATCCCCCTAGATCTGCCGGAGACAAAGCTCCACATGCCCTCCGATGATGTTAGAGCACCGGTGGGATGGGGGTTAGACGGGGAGAACCTTATTCCATCTCTAGAGACTTGTCGCCGCTTCATCTCTCTAAGCAGGACATATCCCTAACAAAACTCAAAAAACATGCAAAAATGGAACCGTTCCGCCAGAAGGACCAGGATCCACTGTGCCTCCATGGCCCTAAGGCCACAAGAGATGAGGCAGACCGACGATGGCATCGGCTGGAGGCACCGAAAAGCCTAGCTGCTAGAAGTGTGGGAATGAGAGTCCTGGTTGGCAGGCGTTTTTAGTCTTGGATTTATGTGTGCTCGGTGTATGTTCAACTTTGATATGATATATCATTCAAATTGATGGTATATTTCAGATTTAATATTTCATTAGGACAATGCATGTTGATGCAACGGGATATAAATATTAGACCGTGATATTTGGCACATGTGTGATGGATAGCAAAACTACCATATTCCTCCTTCCTCCCATATAAATACATGCATGCATGCATTAGGATATAGATTAGGGTGTGACTAACTCTCTTTCCACGTCCATCCCTCTCTCTAATTACATACATGCACTAGAGGACAAAAAAGCTGATGTCATCCTAGATTCTCTCCTATTTCAAAAATTCAAAATGTTTTGTAGCTTAAATCGTTGGTCCGATGCAAAAACCGTTTTCACATAAAAGATTCGTTGCGATGAGATCTTCGAAACTAGATCCCATGTTGGTGTGTTTTGATGAATATTTTTTCCGGGTCAAAAGTTACCACGCCTCGGCTACATAAGTTACCAAGCCTATGGTATGCAACTTACCGTACTATTTCCACATAAGTTACCGGGGTTATATTTTTCGGCAGCCCCCCCCCCCCTCCCCGGTTAAAAGTTACCGCAGGTGTTTGTACTTAATTTAATAGGTACGTGGTTCATATATTACCGTGCTATTTTCACATAAGTTATCGAGGGATGTTTCTCAAAAACTTTTTCCCCTTGATTAAAAGTTTCCGCGGTATTTGTACATAAGTTACAGGGTATGCGGTTCGTATTTACCATATTATTTTCACATTAGTTATCAGGGTAAGTTCTTTCTCCCAGTCAAAATACTTACCGCGGTGTTTCTGGTAAGTTGTCGGGTATACGGTTCGCATATTACCATGTTATTTTCACATAAGTTACCATGAGGAAGGGGGTATGTTTTTCAACAACTTTTTTCCCATTGGTCAAAATTACCGCGTTGCTATACATAAGTTATCGAGCATGCAGTTCGTATATTATCGTGTTATTTTCACATAAGTTATCTGGGGTAAACGTTTTCAACAACTTTTTTTTCCTCCCGGTCTAAAAAGTTACCGCAGTGTTAGTACTAAGTTATCATGTACGTGATTTGTATATTACCGTGCTATTTCCACATAAGTTACTGAGGTTATATTATTCAACAAGTTTTTCTCCCTATCAAAAAAGTTACTGTGGTGTTTGTATGTAAGTTATCGAGTATGTGTTTCGTATATTATCGTGCTATTTTCATATAAGTTATGAGGTATGTTTTCAACTACTTTTTCTCGGTCAAAAACATTACCATTGTGTTTGTCCGTGAGTTATCGAGTCTGCGATGCGTATATTAGAATGCAATTTACATAGTTATTATCGAGGTATGTTTTCAAACATTTTTCCCTCTAGGGTTAAAAAGTTATCAGGGTGTTCATGTGCAAGTTATCGTATATGTGGTGTGCATATTATC